GCTGCCATGAAGGCCGAGGCCTTCGCTTGGCAGCGCGTCGTCGCTGTGTCCGCTGGAGACCGGCACAGCCTCGCCATCACTGCCGACGGCGCCCTCTGGAGCTGGGGCGGGGGAGCCTTTGGCTGCTTGGGCCACGGCAACGAGCAGAGCCAGCTGCTGCCGAAGAAGGTCGAGGCCCTGGCTGGCCGGCGCGTCGTCGCCTTGTCGGCTGAGCTCGACGCCGACGGCGCTGTCTTTACCTGGGGCGCTGGCGGACTCGGCCGCTACCTTAGGCCACGGAGAGGACCTGTCGAACCAGCTGCTTCCCAAGAAGGTCGAGGCGCCGTCGCGGGAGTGAGAGGGGGCGAGGGGCGCGTGGCTGCGATAGGAGTACGACCGGCTCGGGAGAGGCCAAGTGTTCCGGATAGGGTGGAGGAGCCGGCTGGCCAAGCGAGCAAGCGTTAGTGCGCTCGCTCCCCACTCCCGTTACCCTGTGTCCCTGATCGTCCTTCCAAAATCCTGCTCGTGCAGGTGGGGACCTGTCCTCCTCCCACAACTCAGCCACATCCCTTCGTTTGTGGGTTCTCTGCACTCTTGAGCACTTCGTAGCCCGGTCGAACACTGCCCAAACAAATAAATTCCCCCTTTGAGCTGAGAGGTTTTGGGATTTCGCTCCGAGCGACGGTCCAACGAGAATCGTCAAAATCAGGCAACAAGAGACCGGTAGCGCCAGCATGTCGGTGCGTCTTTCTCATGCTCGCGCGCCCGCCGCGCCCGAACTATGCACGGGCCCGGCTCGCCCGCTTGGGGATCCACCCGGCACATCCCCGCCCCCCACCTGCCGGCTTGCCTGCCGTCAGTTCACGGGGGATCGCCCTCAATTGTCAGCAACACAAATCCACCAGTTTTTGGGCTGCCTTCAGCCTCGCCTCACAGCCGACCTTCTGGTCGTACGCGGGTTCTTAAGGGTCGTACATGCCGGCCATGACGTCTGCCAACCGGCCGTTCGCAGGCGGTAGCTTCGCACGCCCCCGACAACTCCGAGAATGACCCGCGCGAGAAGTGCGCGTCGGCGGCGCACTTTTCCTCCCAGGCTGTGACTGCTGCCCTGGCCACCCTGGCCTCCCTCGAGGGGTCGCCAGGACCCGCCGCGGCCCTGGCGCGGCCCACGGGCGGCTTGATGCTCATCGACGCCTTCACCCTCGTCGGCCTGGCCGGAAAATACGCCAGCCGCTCGGGTGCCGCCCGCCTCCTAGAGGCCGAACCACCAGTGCTGTGAGTATTGACGCCCTCCCTGCACCTCAGGCGCGTCCCTCGCCCTCGCCGCCGCCGCCGCCGAGCCCGCCGCCGCCCTCGCCGCCGCCGCCCTCGCCGCCGCCACCGTCGCCGCCACCGCCGAGCCCGCGGCCGCCGTCGCCCCCTCTGCCGGCGCCTTCTCCGCCCTCGCCACCCCCACTGTCGCTTTGCCCCCACCAAGCCCACCACCACCGTCGCCGCCGCCGCCCAGTCCGCCTCCGCGTCACCGCTGCCTCCCTCGCCGCCGGCCCAAAGGCCGCAAGGCCGCTGCCGC